AACACTGACCTATGTATTCGCCAGTTATTTTAACCCCGATCTTTTTAGAAAAGATGCACTTCTGCAGCTACCTTCTGGCTCCTAGAAACCACAATCAACCTCAAGTTAACTGGCTATTTGTCAAACCATAAGGAGAGCTGGTAACAAAAACACAAATGTTGGAAAACTCAGCAGGACAGGCAACATCTGCGGAGAGAAACAGAGCTCATGTTTCAAGTCAATGAAATTTTGAAACATAAAGTTTGTTTTCATGCAGTGGTAATGGGGAGGGGCAGAAAGAACAAGAGGGGATAGGTCCCTGATAGAGTGGAGGGCAGGAGAGATTAACTAATAAAAGACATGATGGTTCAAAAGCCAAAGAGAGTAGTAATGGCTGGAGTAAAGAAAAAAACGTTATGTTCAAATGAGGAATGAGTAGCGATATAACAGTAACTGCATTTATTGCCATTGCAACAACACTACTCCAGCATATCTCTGCAGGGGTTCCTCAGGGTAGTGCCTAGGCCTAACCTTCTTTAACTGCTTCATCAATGAGCTTCCCTCCATTGTTAGGTTGGAAGTGGGGATGTTCCCTGCTGATTGTCACAAATGGAGCTGAACATTGTGCAATGTCCAAATGCAGCAACACCTGTACAACATTCAGGTTCGGGGTGACAAGTGACCATTGACACTGGCGCTGTACAAATGCCAGATGATGACCAACTCTAATGACGAAATTCAACCATCACCCTTTGACAATGGTGCCACTGTTGCTGTATCCCTCACTATCAACATCCTGGGGGTTGTCACTGACCAGAAACTGACCTAGACTAGCCACGTCAATACAGTGACTACGAGAACAAGTCAGAATCCTGCAGCGAGTAATTCGTATCCTAACTCTCTAAAGCTCATCCATTATCCACAAGGCACAAGTCAAGATTGTGATGGAACATTCCCCATTTGCCTGGATGAGTGTAGATCCAACAACACTCAAGAAGCTAAACAGAAAAACCTAAGTACCAAGGATGCTGGAAATCAGAAACAAAAACAGAAATTGTTGAAAAAACTCAGCAAGTCTGTGCAGAGAAAGCAGAGTTAATATTTTGGAAGTTCTATTAGAACTTAAGTTCTGATACTCAGCTTTCTCTCTACAGTTGCTACCAGATCTGCTGAGTTTTTCCAGCAATTTCTGTTTTTGACTCAAGATACTAACACCATCCAGGTCAAAGCAGCCTGCTCGATTGGCACCATATCTACAAATATCCACTCCTTCCACCACTAATGCTCAGTAGTAGCAATGCATATCATCCATGAGACGCATTGCTAAAATTCATCAAGGATCCTTGGACAGCACCTTCCAAATGTTTGACTACTACCATCTAGAAGGACAAGGGGGCTACCAACTCCTGCAAATTCCCCTCCAAGTAACTAACCCAACCTGACATGAAATATATCACCATTCCTTCGCTGTTGCTGGGTAAAAATCGGGGACCTCACCGCCTGCCAATGGCTTTGTGAGTCAACTTACATGAAACAGACTGCAGCAGTTCAGGAAGGCAGCTCACCACCACCTTCTCAAGGGCACATAGAGTTGGGCAATGATGCTGACCAAGTCAGTGATTCCCACATCCCACGAGTTCCTTTTTTTAAAAAAAATGCAAGGGGCACCATGCAATCACAATGCCTGTGGCTTTACAGCCAGTGATGGCCGCAGGACCTGGGTAATAGCTTCACACTTAAAGTTTTCCTTTGTGTTGCAGCTTGGTGTCCCTGATATGAATTTTAAAGCCCTTGTCTTGCTCGCTGCCCCACTCCCCTCAGTGAACGGCAAGCTAGGCAGCAAGGAGTTGCTCAGAAGCAAGGGATACAACCATTGTGATGGCAAACAGAGCAGTGAACCAAAGAGGAAGAAACAGCAATGATGGGTGCACATTTTCTAGTACCCATTTCAGTGCAGTGCAGGTACACCGTATCAATGACACTATCTTCCTTTACAAGTGCGTTGTCAGGACATCCACTATTTGGTACCCATTTGGACGCAGCATAAAGATATAAGGAAACACTGGTAAAACCGTGTGTGGCAGTTTAAAATCTATTTCCAAATGACACATTTCAGAGCTTTACTTTTTGGAGTCAAATTTAACCTGCATTATTTATCTGGAATAGCAACGTAGGAGCTTGCTGCACAGACAATGAAGTTCCTTTATGTGACACTATAAAAGATAATGTGTGCTCCCTTACACCCTCACCAAAATGATCTCTCTTAAAATCAAATCTTTCACATATCAACCAAAGAATTATATCCCAGAGAATGCAAATGTTTGGGTTTGTGCAAATGAAGATTTCTGTGCTGCTTTTGCGCTGTTGTCCCTTTTCTAAGAACTCACGGAGATGAACATTTTCCAAACTAATTTTCATAAATATTAATTCTTGGATGCACACATTATCGACCAGGTGAAATCTATTGTTGATTCCTCACTGCCTGGAAAAGGCAATGGTGGGCTGCCTTCTTGACCCACTGTTTGTAGTTTGTTATAACTGCTTGGTTTTCTGAGCCCCTTTAGGAACAATTTGTAGCTGCATTGGTATGGGATCAGAGACACAAAAGGGTCAGACCAGGTGAGGATGGCTAAAAGATTACTTAGCCTAAGGGAGGAAGCTTTTCTTTTAATGCAGTGTGTAGTTTGGACCTGGAATGTACTGCCTGTGAGCTGGTTGGAGGCAGGTTGAATTCAGGATATTGAAAGAGAAGTTATCTAAAAAAGAAAACAGTCCAGGTTTGTGAGGAAATGACAGAGACTTAGATGAATTGCTCCTTCTGAGGTCCAGCATTTACACAAGAAGCCAAATTTGTGCTGGAACCATTCTGTAATGCTACTCTACAGGGCAATTTTATTTAGAAATGGGGAGGAAAACGAATTTAAAATGGCACCAATTCTGTGACCATTTTTAGAACGAAATTATGATTGTTTTAAATTTTTAAATTTGAACTAAAATTCCCAAATTGGGATTTGAACTTGTTCAATCGTGTTGGCTCCTGGATACGTCTTTCGGTAAAGTGACATATTTCAGCTTTTTTGATGACAAGGGAAGCTCTGCTTTGTATAAGATGATAATATCCTGCACAAAATCCATTTGGGTTCAGGGCACTGACACTTCGCAGGAGTTCTCCTGAGCTTGCAATGTGATGGTGTGCATATTGAGTCATGTGATCTCTCCTGGTGTACCTTTTATAAATTTTGATTTAAATCCCTCAGTACATCGCCTCTGTTAGGAAGTATTCCTGTGAAAAGCAGCGCACAGGAGTCACTCTGTTCTCTGACCTACTTTTCCTAACGTTGCTTTAGCACCAGTCCATCTAGAAAGGACGGGAAACATTAATCCTTTTATTAATTTAGGACAGTGAGAAATGGGTTAGGGTATCCATGTGGGAAATTGCTCCTGTATTTATAGGCTGTGCGTACAGCTCCATCTCTCAGCTCACTGTCCTCGACATTGGCAGAGTCCAATTCATGCTGGGACTGTGTGATCTGCTGTTAGATCTGTATTAAGACAGCCTTGCTGGAAGGCCATCCTTGTCTACTGATGACAGTCCCTCAGCACTCTTTTTATAATATGTGTCCTGTTTTTAAAATGCTTTCACTCTCTCTCTCTATTTTCCGCAAATAACACTCACTGCCCAAGAGGTAATTGTCTTTCCTTCTGTAATTTTATCTACTTTTTAAAATATAAGCGAGGGATATCACCAGCAGATTAATTAGAAGGAGGGGACTGAATGAAAGCCTTTCTGATACTGGAGTGATTTAAGAGAGTACCTCCCTGGGTCTGACACCCTAAGCCTGGATTTCTGGTAAATATCCCCCATACCCCCATCAAACTTATATGAGATGCAATGGAACTCCCTAAAGCCAGGCTTATCATGTGAAATATCTAAAGTTCTTTCCATCTGCCTGCGTTTCGCCCACCTTGAACCATCCTCGCTACAGTTGTTTGTCATCATTTGTGATGAAGCTGGATGTCGGGACGCCATCCGATCTGTGGGAGCGCATGAAGTGAAATTACTGGAGGAAATCCCATTCCCTTGAGAGGTACAGCGTCTGCTCGTTCCACCAGCCTCTCTGCTCTGGCCCATACACTGCTGCCGTGCATTAGCATAATCAATTGCTGACTCGTCTACAGGAGCTAGGGAGGGAGGGAGGGGATGAAGCTGCCCTGCTGCCTGCCTTTTTTTTCCTCTTATGGGATGGTTCATTCCTGGCTAATTGGATCAAGGAGGAAGTTGCAGGCTGTCTGTGCGGTTCTGAATGGTGCGTGCTGTGTGTGTGTCTGATTTCTGCAAGACCTGCCTCCCCCCAGTGTGTGTGTTTCTATATCTGTCTGTGTATAGATGAAGGAGGAGGAAGTTCTGTTTGTCCTCTCCCTGTCTCTGCACCACCACCCCCCCTCCTCCCTTCCCACCCTCCCAGCTAATGACACCGCTGCCACACTGCGCTGAAAGCAGCGGGCACCTGGTGCTCCTTGGTAATGACTCCAGCTTTGCTCTGGAGCAAGCCGCACAGCCACAGTGAGAACAACAGGATGCTGCTGCCTTGTATTTGTTTTTCCTGAAGGTGTGTGTGTGTGTTTGTGGGTGTGGGTGGAGTTTTTATTTTACCAATCCTCCCAGGTGAGAGAGATCAGGAGCGACTTTCAACCTAAAAATAAATGGCAGCCAAGTCTGAGCTAGCACAGACAGAGATGACTTGAACACTTGGGCGTTTGTGCATTCACTGGAGAGACAGAGTGGACAAGGTGCAGAGCTGCTGAACCCACCGTTACACCCCCCCCCCCCCCCCCTTTACCCCCCCCCCCCCCCCCCCCTTTACCACCTCCCCCCACCCCCCAGAGGATGTTGGTGATGGTCTCACTGTCGCTGTCCATTTGATGCCTGGACATCTCGCTCGCCCTTGCTTCTCGCTCACTTCCCCTATTGTTACTCAAGAGGTTGCAGAGAACGGTGGCACCTTAAATGCACCGGGAGGATGTCAGAGGAAGGGAGTGAAAATTCTCCGGATCCCTCCCCCCCTCCCTGCCTGACCCCGTCTACCGAAGACACTGCGGAGGATGCTCCCTCGGCGGGCCAGAATGGAGCGCTGGGGCTGAGCGGCCTCATTGCTACCTGCTGCATCTGCATGGAGGTGGAACGCGTGCGAACTTGCTTAAACTCTGAGAAGATCTGCATCATACCCATCATGGCCTGTCTGGTGAGCCTGGGTCTTTGCATTGCTGGCCTCAAGTGGGTTTTTGTGGACAAGATATTTGAGTACGAACCTCTGACGCACCTTGATCCCAAGCGCATAGGGCAGGGTCCTATAATCTCTGCTGACCAAGCAACAGTGGCCGAATGGCCGCCACCATCAACTGCCTTTACCTCCACCTTTCCGATATCTGATTTGATCCAGACGGTGAACGATCCTGATGACCCTTTGGTGCTTCCCTCAACTCCTTATACTAGCCCTTCTCCTCAGCCCCCAACCTCCTCTCCTTCCTTCCTACCCTCTGTCGTACTCGAATCTTTCTCCCCAGACCCTGTCGTCACCAAAAACCGTGAAGTGACAGAATCAGCGTCTGTAACCCTTCCCCAAATGACAGATACAAACCTCATTATCGCACCGGCGTTTAGTAAGTAACATATTCTTTTCCTTATAATTCTTGGTGGGGGAGGGGGTTTGTGGATGGGGAGGCAAATTCTATCAGCCTTTTGTAATCTGCTACTTTAATATTTAAACAGAACACTTGTCTCATAGAGAAAGCTATTTGGTCTGAATGTTTCCATTTGTTCTCAAGAGAAATGAGTTTGCAAAAGATGGAATCCTCTTGACTTTTGTTCATGGTATCATCAACAGCACAAAGATTCTATTTCACATTCTCTTCAATATTTCATTCAGGGTAAGGGGTTTGTTTACTTGGGTTTAGATTTTGTCAACAAATGCAGACTTTCATAAGGGAAGTAGTGCAGAATCGCCTCTAAAATAACATCTGTCTGAAAACAGTGCACTGGGAAATAACTCTTTAAGTCACTGGCCCCCCCATTGACAGAAGCCTGTTGTTTGTGTTTGACAATATCATAGGACTGTAGCTGGGCTGCTGTTAGAATATTTTATAACCTTGTGAATCTTTGCTCATGATTCCTCTGACTTACGATGTATTCCAAAAAAGCTTCCCTTGCTTAGCCTGCCCGTTGATTGATGCAAACTCTGATGTTTTAAAACAAAATCTTTGTTCATTTGTTTTCTGACCCTTCCATGAATAAAATCCAACCCATTTAAAAATTATACTCCCTATTTCATCACAAGCTGCTTTGAATTTAGTCTGAAACACCAGCTGGAGATTAATCAGAAAGGCAGTCTATATGTATATAATTTGTTTGGAATAATCAATATTTATTCTCTTGCAAAAAGATCTTTAGTGTGCATGTATGTATTGTCTCCTGTGATTTTTTTTTGCCTGATTCTGAGATGAATTTCAAGGTCAGTTGCTGCTGTGAACTAATTGATTCCAGTCTATCCCAGAGACTTATAGAAAGACAATCTTGTTAATGTTGCCATGTAGGTTGTCCACTTTGTACAATGACTTTGCAAGATTTTTTTCTCTCTCTGATTAGTTCTTGGCTGCCTGCCAAGCTTTTGATATTTCAGTATCCTCACTTGTTTAACAGGTTGCAATGGTACTTTTTCAATAGATTCAATATAAGTTATTCTGGACCCAATGCACATCCACACCTTTGCTGAGAATATGATAAATTAATTCCTGCCTGAGTAACTTTCTTTTACCATTGCTTTGCTGGGAGTTTTACTTATATTTGCTTGCAGTTCTTTACCCTGGATATTTGAAGTCAAAATCAATTCAGAATATGAGGGGTTAAACAGAAGAACACAAAGCCAAGGAGTATGTGAAGACAGCTGCGGCTAGCAGCTAGTCCTTCTTTCATGGTATATATCTTTGCTTTTAGCTGCTTTCATCTCAAGTGATGTAGTTTGCTTTAGAAGATGGTTCTTACTTGTGAAACTATTCAAGTCAAGCTGTTCCCCACCTCCCCAAACAACAGGTTATTTTATTGCTATAAGTTCCTATTTATAAGTGTGCACATGGAGGTTTTTTTTTAAAAAAAATGGACGTTCTGATTGGCAGAAGAGCCAATAATCAGAACTTGTAGATTTAAATTGAGTTTGGAACCACAGATGATAAAAGGTACAATTTTTTTTCTCTGAATGGGTGGTTAGGGTCTATAAAGCACTGCATGAGAATGTAGCAGTGTTTATGACAAGTTCCACTATGCCTTTCAACAGGGAATGGGATACTACTTGAAGGGAAAAATGTAGTTGGGTGACAGCAAAAAGGGGAGTGATTGGAACACAATTGGCCAGTGGCCTCCTTCTGAGTTGTGACCATTCTCAGATTCTATACAATGTCACTGGAACTGGTTAATGATTTATCTCATTTCAGACAAGTTTAGGTATGAGATGATTGACCTGACCCTGTGGCCATCATATTTTGTAGTTGATTTGAAATGATGCAACAGCTAGGTGAGGAAGGATAGTGGCTTGCAGTGAACTGCAATCCAGTTTGTGTTGCTAGCTCTCCAGATTTTCCCTGAAACCTCCAGGATGTAAAAATTAATCTGCAGGTCACGCCTCTGAGGAAGTCGGGAGAAAAAAAAATCATTGAGACAACAGGAAAACTTTCTTTGACCACTTTCATTTATCAGTGACAATGGGAATGTTTGGCGGAGAATCAAGAATCATCCAGTCAAGAAATTAAATTGTTTAAGTAAAAGCAAAAGACTGGGGATGTGAACCAAACACTGAGAATGCTGGAGAAACTCAGCAGGTCTGGCAGCCTTTGTGGAGAGAGAAGCAGAGTTAATGTTTCAAGTCCAGCGACCCTTGAAAAGGGAACAGGATAATTATCTGAAAGGAAGAACTTTGACAGGCAAAAGCTGAAGAATGAAATTATTTGCTTTGTGGTGGGTGCGGACAGTGAAATTAAGGACATGTTGGGTGCCAACAGCAGGTGATTTGGGGCAGGGCAGGTGGAGGCAGGTTGTCATGTGATGACACCTCCAGAAGACTGGCCAACCAGAGTTGACGGCCCTAATCCCCCATGAGTCATTGTCTCCAGGAGAGAAGGGCGGAGCTATTTAATTACACATCCAGACTTCAATAGTCTTAATAGGTTCTCCATTCTAAAATTCAACCTGTAGGCCTTCAACCTGTAGGCCTTCAAAGAAGGGTGGAGTGCCTCAGCAATTGGCAGCTATCAATACTGGCAGTTCTGGAAGGTAGTCAGCACAGAAGCAACATCAACATCAGCTGCTAAAATTGACACAACAAGCAGAATGTCTATGCATCAGATCACAGCCTGTGAGTAATGCTCTTGCCAGAGTTAGAAGGTTGTGAGTTTGAGTCTCACGCCAGAGATTTGAACATAAAATCCTTGTGGGCTTTTACTGAGAAAGTGTAGTGTTCAGAGGAAGGGTCACTGGACCCAAAACATTAACTCTGATTTTTTTCTTTACAGATGCTGCCAGACTTGCTGAGCTTTTCCAGCAATTTCTGAATTTATTTCATTATTTTCTTGCTATTTGAGGAACTTCTTACTGCAGGTAACTTGTGCCACATTTCCCAAAATTACAAAGGTACTTCAATGGCTGTAAACCACTTTGGGACATCCTCAAGAGAGATGCTATATCTAAAAGCATCTTTTTATTTTTCAATGGTGGTTGGATACCCTACCTCTCCTTCTGCTAGGTCACAGTTTAATTTATTTGTTCTTCAGTAGATTCTCCTTGCTCCCCAGCAAGTGAAATAAATAAATCTGGTTTGAATAGTCCTCAAATTTAATCTCTCCCTTTTTCTGGATGGACACATTTGTTCTCAGGACAATCCTAGAGTGATGAGAATCTGCCGTTTAGAGGTGGTTGGAGCAAATAACGGAAGGGCATTCCAGGAAAAGCTCTTTGTCACTACAAGAGAGAAAGAAAAAGAAAATTACGTTGATAGAATTCAAGGAAGCAGGGCAGGGAGCAGCTCAAATGGGCCAAATGGCCTGATTCTGTGGCAGTGCTGTTGAGCCTAACATTGTATGAGATGACCAGACATACACAATTGAAAGAAAATGCTCTCACGTTCATGGGTCAATTAATGAAGCTCCTTCCTGTTGCCAGAGACAGACTCTTTTTCAGAGTCATTAACACTGATGTTGAAGAAATAAAACTCAAAAGAAGAGTTGACTGCAAGTTGATCTTTATTAATTCCGTGCACTTAGAATGATTAGAAAAAGATACCATGATGAATCTGTAGTGTTTATAGTAATTCCTGCTTGTGCCTTATAATATTAGCTCTGCCCAAGTAAGCTCAGTAAAACTGATTACATGGGGTCAAACTGCTCATGCCCAGTGCTTCACCGTTAATATTGAGCCAACAAAGTTTTGAAATCCATTGAATCAATGATTTCCTTCTGTGACGTGGTGGCAATACAACGATTAATATCAACAGGGTGCCATTTGTAAAATGTGAGGTGCAAAGTGGAAGTGGTTCTTGCATTTGCTGGCAGGCTGGCTGCAGTTATATAGTGAGTGAACTGTAATTTAAGATTTTTGCAGTGAACAGCACACGCACGCGCACACTGTCACTACTCAAGGACTCCTGCGAAGAGTGGTCATTGACTGAGGATGGCAGAGAGTTTGGGTGTGATGCCTTTCCAGTGGATTCCAATTCGGGAATGGCAGTAAATGCTGGTCTAGCCAGCAATACCCATGTCCTACGATTGATTTAGACAAAAACCATCAACACTCGCTGTCTAGACATACGTAATACTTGATCAATTGGCCAAGATAGCAGAAGCCTGTGGACAGACTTGGAACAGAGGCAGTTTAAAGAGTCAACATGAGGAAATTAGCATACAAGTGGATGAAATCAGGAGCATGAGTACAGGCCATTCAAGCCCATTCTGCCATTCGATAACATCATGGCTGCCCTGCTTGTACCCTCAAATCAAGATTCTTACCTCCCCCTATAACCTTTCACTCCTTTGCTCAACAAAAGTCTACCTACCTTTACCTTAAAATGGGAGGTGTAGAAGACAAATTGCTTGTTGCAGAAGAAGTGCTGTGTTCTTGTTTGCCCTTTACCTTTGTAGTTCTTGTAAATTGGCCTGATGACTGAAAAAGGAGAAACCTTGACAAAAATGCCTCTTTTTCAAAAATATAGAAGGATATTTTGGATGCCTGCTAAAGGAAATATTCATAGGAAGATGAACTCTATTTATAAAGTCATCACTTAATTAGTTAAAAAAAAAATGGCTCAACTCTTGTAGAGAGAACTTGTAATAAGGTAAATTATTGCACTTAGCAATACATGGAGGCTGAGAGGTAGGAGCAGGACATTCTGCCCAATCAATTTGTATTGGTCCTCACCATTCATTCAAGAAAATTCTCCTCAATAATTTACCCACCCCATCCCCATATTCCTTCAACCCTACTTTTCCTTCATGCCCTTGACTAATCTAATCTTGAACATTGACATAACCTCTGCCTCCAACACTGACCCAGGAAGTGAATTCCACAGCCTCTTAATTCTTAATGTGGAAAAAGTTTTACGTATATTTACAGTTGTCTGTAT